TATATATATACTGAAAATAAAGAATGGGCCCCTACATCGCCCATTCTCGTGAAAACATAACCATATTTTCTTCGTCTCTCCGATTTTAACACGATCTTTGACATAGAAATTTTTTTCTTGATGATACTCTTTGAAATATCATAAAGTTATTCGATAATAAATTTTTATTATTCATAGTAATATATCGATATAATGAATAGATTTTTTTGACAAATTACATTTCACTTTAGAAAAAAATCATGTTTCGACAATATACATATATACCATATTTTTCAATAAACTAAAGCGTGCTACATCTGGTGCAAATTACATCTGGTGTAAAAAATTTTTTTATATATATATCTAATAACAGGGGGAAGCTGCAACAAGTCTCCAAACAGAAGAATGTGTTTTCTGCAAAAGAAGCCATCATCTATATCTGTCGTATCAAAGATTTCACATAATCGTAGATTGATAAGTGTCACATTCGAAATCATGGATACTTCATCGATTATAAATAATTCGATAATCTTTAATTTGTCTCTCAAAGTTTTCAAGACCATGTCTGACAAATGCGTATACTTTGCCGTAGATTCATAGGTCACGGGTAGCTGAAACATTCTATGGTCAAGCCATCGATATTGAATGCCGCGATACTCGTGGGAGCAGATATGGCAATCGCTTTTTTCAAATGTATTATATGTTTAATCGTTTCAATAAGAAAACTTTTCCCTGTACCACTCTCGCCACTTACATACAGACGCAGAATCTAATTTTTATTTTGTAAAACTTGGTATACTCTATCGAAGATTCTTTTCTGGTCTTCTTTCAATCGCAACATAATTTGTGATAAATCAATCGGTGCATCAATCTTACCAAAATGTTCCAGATCTTTCATCGCGTTGTCAGCTTCTATCGGATTGCAATCCAGTCCATCGTCATCGGATTTGTCTCTGTCTGCTGTTTTCAAATCATTTTCGCGCTTCTCGATTAATTCAGCAACGTTCTCAAAAGCTTTCTGTATTTCTTCGAGCCTTTCGTGATATTTCATTGCCTTCGTCAAAGCAGACGCTGAATTCTTAAAGGCATCCGTGTAAGTTTCGTATGCACCTTTGAGTTCACTCTCTCCGCGGTTTAAACAAAAGAAGCAGTAAAAGTATTTTTTGGGTTCAGTTATCACATTAAATCGATAATGGTTAATTAAATAATACTTTTTTCATTTTTTTAAACATAATCCCGATACAATAAGTTTGTGACATTCGACTTCGTCATTTTTTGGGATCTGTTTCATAATTTCCCAAATTTTGGGAAAATCGTACAAATTCAATGATTCTACTGTAATTCCTTAAGTCTGCTTGGATAGTAATCATCGATGAGCGACGAACAATAAATATTCGTAGAATTTTCATCGAGAGTTTTAATTTCATAGAATGTTTTAACTTTTCTGTTTCTCATCTCATTAACGTCAATCCATTTGACAATGGTATCACTGTCCGTATCATACAAGGGATTCCCTAGTAGTATGTCCGCAGCTTCTAAAGCATTCTCTGTTATTCAATGAACGCAAATTCCACAGTTTCGATGCCAAGGGTTTATTGGAATCTATCATTGCAAAGTCTATATTGCATTTTTCCGATTGCAAAAGCTATATTGCACTTTGTCGTGTATTTTGTTAAGTATGAGTTTAAAAACTCTGATGTTTCTCCAATAAATTGTATGTCCATATTTCCCTCCCAGGTTAATTTGATAGCCGGATTATAATTATTGTTAAACGGTTTCTAATATAGCTGTCCGCGGCCCATTATCATTGGGGACCGCGAAGAGGCAGCAGAGGAGGCGGGCGGGAAAGAAATAACATTTATAATAATAATTATAATAATAATAATAAAAAATAATTATAGGTAATTTTTAAAGATTATAATTTATCGCCCATTATTGATATCAAATCTTTGATTTATCTGATACATATCGTTAAAATTAAGTAGATTTTTTATTTTTAGGACTACTCAGAACAAGTAATTTCTTCAATAAATAAATACGTAATAGTTAAGAATTACCTCTCAAATTGACTTTTCCAAGCTTAGCACAAAATTAGTATAGTCAGTTATCGTTGCAATAAAGTCGTTAGCAAGTCGTTTTTATAATTGATAAAATTTATGGCGTTACTTTACTTCCCATCCCTGCATTTTTTATACAAATATATTTGCGTGAAATGTTCCTTTTCAATTAGTTATTGATAAAATTGGGCAGGTAAGTGAGAACACGTCCGTTCATAGCGAAAAGCAACCAGAGAGTAATTTATTGTAGAGACACCATTAACATATTTATGTGACAAAGGTGGCGCCTTTATCGGGATCGGTTGAATACAGAAAAGTGTAGATAATACAGATTCCTTACAACATCCTCACTTATTAAATATTAGAAATTAAAAAAAAAATTAATGTAAAATTGCAAATATATCAAATAAAAATAACGTAACATAATAACGTTTTTTTTTATAAAAATAATAATCGTAAAGCAATTCAATTAAGCCGATATGTTAAGGAACAATATAAATTTCCAATCTTTTATACACTAAGACCCATTCTACACGCGTAAGAAGTATGTTTCGGACCATGAACTGCTTTAGTTAAGCTATCTGCTGGCATCTCTTCGCTTGGGATGTAATCTAATTCAATGATACCATTTGAAACCTTCTCCCGAATGTAGTGATGTCGCACGTCTATGTGTTTCGATCTAGCTCTGTATCCGTCAGTCCGAGCAAGTTCCAGGGCACTTTGGTTGTCGCATCCAATGTTTATTGATTTATTCCTGATCTGAGGTTCCAAACCCTCACTCAAGTGCTTAAGCCATAACGCTTCTTGTATTGTGGCCGAGAGGGCCATGTACTCCGCCTCGGTACTTGATAATGCGACCGTTTGTTGTCGTTTGCTTCCCCAGGAAATTGCACCGCCGGACATCAGAAAAATGTAGCCAGTGTAAGAGCGACGATTGTCAACATCGGACGCCCAATCTGCATCAGAATATCCATGCAAATTAGAATTTATTTTATTGTAACGTACTTTATACTCCAGAGTTCCCTTTAGGTATCTGAAGATGCGTTTGACCGCAGACCAATGAGCTTTTCCAAAATTAGAGTTGAATCTGCTGACATCATTGACCGCAAATGCTATATCGGGCCGTGTTCCTTGCGCCAAGTATAACAAGCTTCCAACTGCCTGCTGATACGGTACATTTTTGAATTCTTTCTTCTCTTTTTCACTAACTGCAGATATCTCGATAGACAATCTCTGATTCGGATCGCTTGAAGTTACAGCTCGTTTGCAGTCGGCCATATTGAACTTCTCAAAAATTCTCTTTGTATATTCTGTTTGATCCAGACATATTCCTTCAGATTCATAAGTGATTCGTAGTCCAACACAGTTGCTGGCAATACCTATATCTTTCATCTGGAATGCTGTACAAAGCGATTTTTTTAACTGATCTTTAATTTTAGCATCGGACCAAAAAATCAAGATGTCGTCCACATAAATGGCCAATATTAGTGTTGCATTTTGATTATAGTAAATACATGGATCCGCTGGTGATTGATCAAGTCCAAAAGCCTTAAGTTTTCTACTAAGATTCTTGTTCCATTCACGGCTGCTCTGCTTCAGACCATAGATCGCCTTTTTTAGTCGACATACTTTGCCTTCTTGGTGCTTGAATCCCTCTGGTGGTTCCATGTAGAGTTCTTCGGACAACTCTCCTTGAAGAAAGGCAGTGATGGCATTCATTTGATCTATTTTTAAACCGCGTTTGACTGCAAGTGCTACCAAATATCGAATCGATGAATATTTTACCACAGGCGAGTACGTCTCATTGTAATCAGTGCCATATCTTTGCGAGCACCCTTTCGCAACAAGTCTAGCCTTGTATCGTACTATTTCTCCTTTTTCATCGCGTTTGGTTTTAAAAATCCATTTGCATTTGATGGCCTTTTTATTAGAAGGTAAATCTACAAGTTCCCAAGTGCGATTATCCTGAAGTGAATCTAGCTCTTGATTAACAGCCGCTCCCCATTTTTGACTATCATTTCTTCCTAATGCTTCCCTCAGTGTTACCGGATCATCTTGTTCATTGCCTATTGCTAGATATGTAATGAATTCATCGAAGTTTTTTGGCTTCGGAATGCGCGATGACCTTCTTAATCCCTGTGAAGGTGTTAGGGTTTTATCAAGGTCGTCACTCGATGTTCCTTCGGTAACAGATACGAAAGAGTCCTCTTCCGAGTTACTAGTCAGATCTCTCTCTGACTGAATGTCTTCTGTTGTGGATGCATCATCCCTCACTGAATCAGTATCCTTTTCAACGTTGATTATTGCTGAAGTCACTTGCTGTTTTTCAAGAAATTTGACATCTCTACTGATGATGAGTTTTTTTGTGTTGGGATCGATACAACGGTAACCCTTGGTACTATCACTATACCCGACAAATATCAATTTAGTGGATTTGGGGTCCCATTTTAACCTTTTTTGTTTTAGAACGTGAACCATTACTTCTCAACCGAAAATCTTGAGATTGCTTACATCCGTCTTATCTCCGGTCCACATTTGTTCTGGCGTTTTATCGTCCAATGCCGAGTTGATGCATCTGTTGACCACATATGTCGCCATATTAACGGCTTCAGCCCAATAACTTTTATCTAGCTTAGCGTCAAAAAGCATATATTTAGCTCTCTCTACTAACGTACAGTTCATACGCTCTGCAATCCCATTTTTGCTGAGGAGTATATGTGTTCGACATTTGATGATTTACACCTTCATTACGGCAGAATTCTTCAAAATCCTTGCTGCAATATTCCGTCCCATTATCTGTCCGGATTACTTTTATTTTTCTTTCGGTTTGGATCTCAACTAGCTTCTTGAAATCTTTGAATCGCTTCAGTATTTCAGATTTTGACCTTAAAAAATAAACGAATACTTTACGTGAATAATCATCGATAAACGTTAAAAAATACTTAGCTCCTCCAATCGAGGCATTTTCCATCGGCCCACATATATCGGAGTGAATTAAATCCAAGGTATGCTTTGCCCTTTTTTTCGAAGCCTTAAATGGAAATCTAGCATGTTTACCTTGCATGCAAATTTCGCAACGCATTACCTCTTCAATGCTATCAGAGAATTTTAATCCTTCTACTGCGCCATTACGCATTTTACACAAATCGCCATGGTTCACATGTGCTAGCCGACGATCGCCAAATTATCGCGCTGTCGCTAGTGGTTGATAGCATGCATGATGAGTTGATACTTGGAAGATGATACACTCCATCAGATGGTTTCACCTTGACTAGGCAATCTCCATTTTTATTAAAGATAGAACATCCATCAGCATTGAATACTACGGTATTTCCATTTTTTACCATTTGATTGACTGAAAGTATGTTCGTCGTCAGTTCCGGAACATATAGAACATCCTTTACGCCGACATCCTCATCATTTACCCTGAGAACAACTTTGCCTGTTCCTGAGACAGCCATTTTTTGATTATTGGCAGTAACAATTTCTTTTACAGATGTAGATCTCAATTCACTTAACCAATCTTCATGAGACGTCATATGCTGTGACGCTCCACTGTCTATATACCAATTGCTTCGATTTTGCGTTGCTTTAGACAAGGACATTGCACTAAATGCGTTTCTACTTTCCTTTTTGTCTTTACTTGCTTTGATTGATCTGTCATCCGAATCTGCCAATTTTTCATTCTTATTAGGCTTGGGATCTTTAGTGTACCTGCATTGATTCGACTTGTGACCCTTCTTGCCACACTTATTACATTTTGGTGTTCTTACATCAGAGTTCTTTGATCTTTTATCCTTGGATGCATTTTTACCGAGAAAGACACAATGAGATTCCTTCTGATATGCTGTGTCAATGAATTTCGTTTTTACGGCATCCGAAGTTGTCTTTATTCCACTGCCCTCGAAACCCATCGTTAAAGGTTTGAATTCTTCTGTGAGATCAGCCAGCATGATTGCACCAACCAGTTTGTCTCCGATGTTAAGCCCAATATTATTCAGCTTATTAGCAGCTCCTGAAATTTGACTTACATATTCGGACATTGACTCGCAGTTTTCAAGACGAATGTTAATCAATTTTTGTATTAACCCTATTTTATGCATGGCACCCGTGTTTTGGAATAGATTTTCGAGCTTATCCCACATTTCTGCTGCATTTCTAGAGTTCTCTACATGTACATACAGGGATTCATCGATACTGAGTAGAATTCTTCCTTTAGCCTTCTTTTGCTTGTCCGTGTCCACTTCTCCGGCATCACCAGTAACGATGCATTTTTCGAGACCATTGAGATCCAGCATCGCACGCATGGCCATTGACCACGTATGGTAATTTTCCGCACCTCGAAGCTTGTTTATCCGCTCGAAGCCATGACGAGGGGTTACCCGAATCAGTTAGAAGAAGAAGAATAAAGAAAAATTTTTTTTTCCTTTAGAAGTCACGTGTAGAAAGTTCTCGATCGCATGTACAATTACATCAACAGTAGCAAAAATCGCGACACATATATACTTGTGTGCTTTATATTAATACGTATCAAGTACCCAATTATGACTCTCTGTTCAATGCTAGTGTAGTATTTAAGTTTACTACACCAAATATTCTTCGAAAATAATATTGACTTGAGTTTAAATAGACTTATGGAGATTTGTGTAAGTAACGCATGAGCAATCAGAAAGTGCAATTTGGCACGTCGAACGTGCCGTAAGAATATCAGCTAGCAGAGCACATGCTATAAAAACTCGTAGATCTAATTTTGATCAGTTAGCAGTGTCTCTGTTGAATGAGAAACCTTTGACTGGTAAGGCGCGAACAAATGTTTTATACGGTTCAAAAAATGAAAATAGTGCACGCGAAATGTATCAAAATATTGGAAATGTTTCGGTTGAACAATGTGGGCTAGTTATCCATCCTTCGCAACCTTGGCTGTGTGCTAGTCCAGATGGACTACTGATGGGCGATGGAAAGCCACTACGTGTCATAGAAATCAAATGTCCAATTTCCTGCAAAAATAAACCTATCATAGGCTCTGATAGGGAGATAAATGTTTCCTACATTCAAAAAACATCTACAGGATTTCTGGAATTAAAAAAAACACATACTTATTACACTCAATGCCAAATATTAATATTATATATTGTACTGGATTAGATACATGTGATTTTTTAATTTACAGCGACCACTCCGATTCATTACTTTTAAACGTGACTCGTGATGAAGGTTTTCTTAAAACATGTATTCCTAAACTAGAACACTTTTATTTTGTTTATTATTTACCTAGATTAATACAAAAATATAATTTGTAAGTTGAAGTAATTTATAAAAATTAAACAATAAAGTTTATTTATTGTTCATTATAATAGGTGATTGTAAATTCGTCATGACACAGCACATGTGAATTATGTCGTCGACATATGGTAGCAGCTCGGTTGACAATTTATGTAAAATATCATATATTTTAACTCGTTGAATGCTGTGTTCTACATGAATTCGTACACTCGCTATGCTGTAAGTTTTTTCGACTTCGTCTTTCGTTAAGTGACCGTCGTGCAAAAATGGAGGAAGCACTATGATGGCATTGTTCTCTTCTAAACCAGTTTTAATCCCTAGGAAGCCTTTATCATCTAATACTAAATCACCTGGTTCAATTAATTTCAAAAATCCACTGTCGTTTGTTATGAAAGTATCGCTAGCCTTTCCACCATAGCATTTTGATATAAAAATAATGGCTCCGCAAGGGGCAATGCCAATTAAAAATTTAATTGTATAGGCTGATTTATAAGAAGAATACATGTAAACTCTTTGGTCAATATTGGG